AGACCCTGACCGAGATCAGGGCCCTCGTCGTGCCGGGCGCTGCCCAGACCCTGATTGAGATCAGGGCCTCCCGTCGTGCCAGACGCTGCCCAGACCCTGACCGAGATCAGGGCCCTCGTCGTGCCGGGCGCTGCCCAGACCCTGACTGAGATCAGGGCCCCGTCGTGCCAGGCGCTGCCCAGACCCCGACCGAGATCAGGGCCCTGTCGTGCCGGGCGCTGCCCAGACCCTGACTGAGATCAGGGCCCCCCCTTGTGCCGGGCGCTGCCCAGACCACGACCGAGATCAGGGCCCCGTCGTGCCAGACGCTGCCCAGATCCCGACCGAGATCAGGGCCCCGTCGTGCTGGGCGCTGCACAGACCCTGAGCGAGAGATGGTCCCTGCCCCCAAGCGTCTGCACTCCAAATAAACAAGACAGCCCCAAGGGAGGATTATTCTGCCCGTTTTACAGCTGGGAACTGAGGCCCAGAGAGATTCATCACCTTCGCTCAGCAAACGTTCCTTGCTCTCGGCCATGCTGCAGATCTCGGCAGCCAGCTTCTCCATGCTCTAGGAGGAGGCGGAGGGAATTCACCACAGAGCACGCTGCCATGGGGAGGAGGAAGTGTCTGGGGTGGGGGCGTCCAGGGGCTTCCCTCACACCAACCCCCCCCGGTCTCCAAGGGGAGACGCAGCTTGTACCAGCTAAAGGGTAGTTCCCCTGCCCCCGCAGGCCTTATATCAGGGCCCTACCCCTAATGCTGCCACAGCGAAACACCGTGGACACCCTTGGCTTCTGCTAGCACCGAGTGTCCTCAGCCCCTGTCCTGGCTCCCAGCCCCCCTCAAAGCCAGGAATCCCGGCTCCCAGTCAGACTCTCTGCTCTAACCCACTCCCTCCCACACATGCCCAGGTCCCCTCCCAGTAGGGTTGTGTCCCACAGTCTGTCCCAAGGGGGCGCTCCCTTGGACCCCACCCCCAGCCCACTTGGCCCAGCAACAGCCCGGGGGACCCCAATGGCTCTTACGTGGCACTCCTGGAGGCTCTTGTGCTTCTCCATCAGCTCGTCCAGCTGCTGCTCAAATTCCAGCCTGGAAACAACAGGGGGTGAGGGGCTGCCATGGGGCAGAGAGAGCGGCTGGGGTGCAGGGAGCGTGGAGTTCTGCGCACAACAGAAACACACACACACACACAGAGCAGGGTTCATCCCCTCCAGCAGGGGGCAGCAGGGATACACACACACACAGCACACGGCTCAGCCCCTCCAGCAGGGATACACACACACACACAGCACACGGCTCAGCCCCTCCAGCAGGGATACACACACACACACACAGCAGGGCTCATCCCCTCCAGCCGGGGGCAGCAGGGATACACACACCACACGGCTCAGCCCCTCCAGCAGGGATACACACACACACACACAGCAGAGCTGGTCCCTCCAGCAGGGGGCAGCAGGGACACACACAGAGTGCGTTACATACAGTGCAGTACATGTATGTCCCTGCCACCCCCTGCTGGAAGAGATGAGCCCTGCTCTGTGTGTGTGTGTGTGTGAGTGTGCTGTAGGGTGACCAGATGTCCTGATTTTATAGGGACAGTCCCAATATTTCGGGCTTTTTCTTATATAGGTGCCTATTACCCCCCACCCTGTCCCAATTTTCCACACTTATCTGGTCACCCTAGTGTGCAGGTGTGAGTATGTGTGTCCCCCTTGCTGCGGGGGATGAGCCCTGCTCTCTGTGACTATGTGTGTGTGTGTCCCCCTGCTGTACCCCGCTGGAGGGGATGAGCTCTGCTGTGTGTGTGTGTGTGTGTGTGCGCGCGCTTGTGCGCCCGTGTGCTGTCTGTGTGAGAGAGACAGAGAGGGACGCTAAGGGCTGATTCACCCCCTAGAGTGACTCTACTCCCTCTGGTGAGCAGGCGCTGGCAAGCGAGGGCCTGTGGCAAAGCCGGGACTGCCTAGGGTGAGCACTACCGCCTCTGCACTGTGGGCCTGGCAGCTGGTTAATGATTGGTCGTTAATTTCCCGGACAGAACAGGAACACGCCCAGGGAATGGAACCCGCGGCAGAGGCTCAGGCTGCAGGAGGGAGCCACCATCGCACACCTAGACCAGGTGGCTAGTGGACAAACTGGGGTGTGCAACCCCGGTCTCTCTCAGAGCGCTTGCCCATGGCTCGGCCTGGCTGGCACACAGGGGGCTGCCCCAAGGATGGATGCCCCGGACCCGCTAAGGGATCGACTTTGAGGATCGGGCTGCCGTAGATCTCACGGAGAGGAGGGAGCATCTAGACTCGGTGCAGCGGGATATCCCAGAATGCACTGCCCACTCCTGCTCATTGCCCGTTGTGCTGGGTGCTGTGCACGACACGTGCCCATCTCCAGGGCACCGGGGGTGGGCGGGGGGTTGGAGCGGTAGCGACGCCCGCCTACAGAGCTGGGGGTCCCGCGTTCAGTCTGCTGCCGGGGGGCCAGGGGGTACCTCTGTTTCCTCTGCTTCAGCTTCTCTTCCTGGATCTTCGCCATCAGCTCCTCGATGCTCTGCTTCTGCTCCTGGGACAGCGTCTGCTGCCTGCATGGGGCGAACAAGGGCGGCCCAGCCAGTGAGCCCGGGCGGCCTGACTCCCAGACAAGGGGACGAGGCTATCGCCCGCAGGGGATCCCAAGCCACCTTCCCCAGGTGAATCTACTCAACCCCCACACGTGGGCAGAGAAGCGGAAACACCTGGCCCAATATCAGGGCGTGACATGAATAGAACCCAGGCGTCCTGGCTCCCACCCCCATCTTCCCCCGCTCTAACCACTAGACCCCACTCCCCTACCAGAGTTGAACCAAGGAGTCCTTCTCTCTCTGTATGGTTCTCTGTGTCTCTCAGTCTCCATCTAAATCCCCATACACACCCCTCCATCTGTCCACCCCTCCCTCCTGCCCTATCCCCTCTCACCGCTGGGCCTCGGCCTCTGTCTCCTGGCAGCGGAGCTGCAGGGTGCGCAGGACCTCTGGAAGGGACACGCATGTTAGTGCTGGGGACACGGCTCCCAGAGAGACACCGCGCGCTGATCCCTGCTGGGGCCACCCCACTCCCCATGGGGTGCTCACTCCGGACATGGGGGACCCTGGTGTGAGGGAGGGGGGGCACACAGAAGGCCTGGGATGTGGGGAATCGGTGAACCCTGGTGTGAGGGAGGAGGAATGGGGGGCACACAGGGGCTCTGGAATGGGGAAAATCAGGGAACCCTGGTGTGAGGGAGGGAGAATGGAGGGCACACAGGGGCCCTGGGATGGGGGGAATTGGGGGACCCTGGTGTGAGGGAGGGGACAAAGGGGATACACAACACCCCTGGGGGCACGCAGCACCCCTGGCAGTGGAGAGAAGGAGCAGAGAGGCAGGAAGTCTCTGAAATAGAAGGGATTGGTGGGGGGCCCATGGGGAGTTTGGGGGGCAGAGGTGGTTAAGGCTGGAGCCCGCTGCTAATGGTAACGCCCATCTCTTCTCGAGTCCGTCTCCTCCGTGGATCTCAAAGCGCGAGACCAAAGCGGTCACTGCCTTTCTCCCGGCTGTCCAGCCTGTCCTTGTGTCACTCCGCGGCCCGCTAAAGGCCTGCTCTCACCTTGCTTCTGGCTGCAGATTTCCTCCAGGTTCGACTTCTCTTCGTTCACTGCAAGAGAATGGAGGGGGGAACAACCAGGCTGGGGGCTCATGTCCTCCGGGTTCGGGGATGTGTCTCACCGGCGCTAGGGAGTGGGTCCAGCCCCCCGCAGCATGCAGCTGGGTAGCGAAGTAGCCCGCGGTGCAAAGGAGCCTGCTCCAAGAGAGCTCAGAAGATGCTGTGGCCCAAATCCTTAAAGGGATTCGGTGCCTAGGGGAGTTAGGCACCGGTGAGAATCTGGGCCAAAGACCTGAGGCGCAACATGAGCCGCAGGGAGTGGTGCTGGGGTGGGGGTGACTTACGCTCCTCCAGCTCTGCCTGCAGTTCCTCGCTGCGCGCCTTCCCATCCTGCAGCTCCCGGCTCAGAGCCTGCTTAGCTGCGGAGACACCAAACGGGTTAGGGGTGAGGGTGTGCGGAGGGGGGGTGTCTAAGGGGCTGGAGCAGTGGTGTGTGGGATGGATGGATAGATAGATAGATGGAGAGGTGTGTATGGGGATGGATGGGCTGGTGTGGGGTTGGAGGGAGGGAGGGAAGGGTCAGTATGGGGATGGATAATGCAGGGGGTATACGGGGAGGGGGGAAGGGGGAGGTGTCAGTATGGGGATGGATAGTGGTGTGGGGTTGGATGGAGGGATGGAGGGAGGGGTCAGTATGGGGATGGATAGTAGGGGGGGTTGATGGACGGAGGGAGGGAAGGGGCAGTAAGGGGATGGATAGTAGGGGGGTGTACGGGGATGAAGGGAGGGGTCAGTATGGGGATGGATAGTGGTGTGGGGTTGGAGGGAGGGAGGGAGGGAAGGGTCGGTATGGGGATGGATAGTGGGGGGGTGTACGGGGATGGAGGGAGGGGTCAGTATAGACCTAGAGAACTATAGGAAGGTAGGTATACATGAGGATGGATGGATTATATAGATCCCTGCATTACCAAGGGCCTGAGTCTGATTTCAGCCCCACTGGGGGAAATCCAGAGTCCCTGCTCTGAAGTCCAGGGGTCGTTTACACGCCGCTTTCAAAGCCGTGGAAGCTAAACCGGACAACGGCCTCTGCTCCTGGGGTCGGCGCATCCCCCGGCGGGTGCAGCAGCTTGGCTTTGGGGGTACAGTGTGTGTCCCCATGTAAACGGACTGTCAGTGAGAGCAGAATCTAGCCCCTGCTAGACACTGGGGGGCCCAGGACAGGGGGGCATGGCAGTAAGGGGTGCTGGGGCAGTGGGCTGCAGCCCCGTGTGCTCCATCCCCCTGCCTTCCCCTCCCCTCACCTCGCTGCAGTCTGCTGATCCTTCCTACCAGGTCGTCCATTCGGGGCTCCAGGGTCCTTGCTGCAGAGAGAAGGAGAAGGATATGCCCGGTTGGGTTCCTAACACTCGTCCTTCACCCTAGGCTCTTTTGAGCGTGCTTGGGAGGAGAGGGGTTATTCCTGCCTTCACTTAAAGGGGGAGGGGAAACTGAGGCACAGAGACGTGACACAGAGAGTCCCTAGTACAGCCTAGAAAAGGACAGTCCCCTTTCACAGACTCTGACAACTAGACCCCACTCTCCCCCCGAGCTAGGGATAGAACCCAGGAGTCCTGGCTCTCAGCCCCATCCCATCCCAGAGCTGGAGAGAGAACCTGGCTCCCAGCCCCGCAAGCTCTAACCCCTAGTTCCCACTCTCCTCCCAGAGCTGGGGAGAGAACCCCGGAGTCCTGGCTCCCAGCGCTAACCACCAGACCCAGCTCCCAAATACCATCCTGCAGTTGTTTCACCAGCAACAGCAGCTCCTCTGCCTTGGGTGCAAAGTCGCTGGGAACTGGGAAGAAGAAGAAAAAAATCAAAGGAATTGCTTTGTTGTACAGAAAATTCAGCTCAAGCTTGTAACTGGGCTTTCTAGGGGGATTTATCCACCCCTTGGTGTTCAGGAGAAGGGCACTGTGGGGTTGACACAAATTTATCCGGCCCACGGTATGAGGGAGAAAGGCATTGTGGGATTGCCATGGCGAAAGGGAGAAGGCATTGTGGGATTGCCGCCCCGTGGCATGAGTGACAAGGTTACTGTGGCATCGCTGCCCCATGGCATGAGCAAGCAGGGCACTGAGATCACCCTCTCCTTGGCGTGAGTGAGCAGGGCACTGTGGGATCACTCCGCTGGGGGAGTGGGGAGTTACGGGATCACCCCTCTTGGCATGAGCGAGCAGGGCATTGTGGGATCACTCCGCTGGGGGAGCGGGGAGTTACGGGATCACCCCCCTTGGCATGAGCGAGCAGGGCATTGTGGGATCACTGCGCTGGGGGAGCAGGGAGTTACGGGATCACCCCCTTGGCATGAGCGAGCAGGGCATTGTGGGATCACTCCGCTGGGGGAGCGGGGAGTTACGGGATCACCCCCCTTGGCATGAGCGAGCAGGGCATTGTGGGATCACTCTGCTGGGGGAGCAGGGAGTTATTGGATCACCCCCGTTGGCGTGAGCGAATAGGGCACTGTGGGATCACACACACACCCTTGGCGTGAGTGAGCAGGGCACTGTGGGATCAAACCCCCTCGGTGTGAGTGAGCAGGGCACTGTGGGATCACACACACACCCTTGGCGTGAGTGAGCAGGGCACTGTGGGATCACACACACACCCTTGGCGTGAGTGAGCAGGGCACTGTGGGATCACACCCCACACATCTGCTGGTGGCATGAGGGAGCGGGAAGTTGTGGGATCATCCCCCTTGGGGTGAAGGACAAAGAGATTATGGGATCACACACACACACACCCTTGGTGTGAGCAAGGGCATTGTGGGATCACCCCGCTGGGTGCATGAGAAAGACGGGCATCGTGGGATTGCCATGAGTTATCCACCCCATGGGGGCCATTCCCCCTCTGCCCTATCTTCCCCTCACCCTGTTTTCTCCCCTCCATGGCGCTATGTGCCCAGAGAAGTGTGGGGCGGGGGGGGGCCTTAACACAGGCGTCTATTCACCCCCCTGGAGGGAGGGGGAGCCTTGAAACTCCCCAGCCCCTCCCGCGCTTTCTTTTCCCGCCGTTTTCCAACGGTTGCTGCGGCCCCGCCTCTGCCATCCCCTCCCCCCGCCCCCAGCCGGGCTCGTGCGCTGTATTTACCACCTGCCAGGGCCCCGCCCCTCCCCTTGGAAAAGGGGGAGGGGCTAACCCCTCACTGGGGGGCAGGGCTGGGAACCAGGATGCCTGGGTTCTCTCCCCAGGTCTAGGAGGGGAGTGGGGTCTGGTGGATTAGAGCAGGGAGTTGGGGCTGGGAGCCAGGACTCCTGGGTTCTCTCCCCATCTCTGAGAGGGGAGTGGGGGCTAGTAGTTAGAGCAGGGGGGGGCTGGGAGCCAGGACTCCTGGGTTCTCTCCCTGACTCTGGGAGGGGAGTGGGGGCTAGTAGTTAGAGGCAGGGGGGGGCTGGGAGCCAGGACTCCTGGGTTCGCTCCCTGGCTCTAGGAAGGGAGTGGGGACTAGTGGTTAAAGCGGGAGGGGGATGGGGGGGCTGGGAGCCAGGACTCCTGGGTTCTCTCCCTGACTCTGGGAGGGGAGTGGGGTCCAGGGGGTTAGAGCAGGGGGGGTGGGGCTGGGAGCCAGGACGCCTGGGTTCTCTCCCCAGCTCTGAGAGGGGAGTGGTGTCTGGTGGTTAGAGCAGGGCGGGGCTGGGAGCCAGGACTCCTGGGTTCTCTCCCCAGCTCTGGGAGGGGAGTGGGGTCCAGGGGGTTAGAGCGGGGAGCTGTGTACAGTAACCCCAGAGGATGGGTTCCAGGGCTGCTCCTCCCTTGTCCCAGCCCACAGACTAAGCTCATGCCATCCCTCCTTGATTATCATTTGCACGGGCGGGCCTGGATTTCATCCATTCTCCCCTCTCTGCTTCGGGCAGGGGTGGGGGGCACCTTCAGAGGTCCCTGGGCTCCACCATGTGGATGTTTCTGTGCTTAGCACCCCGGGGGGGGCTCCCCCCACGGGGATGGCATTTGGCTTGGGTAGATGGCAGGGGGTGGGGCAGTCTAACGATTGGCAGGTGATGAGCGAGGGCCAGTAGCGTCTGGACCAGGGCCTAGCCCGCTCCTGTACCTTCGGGGCCAGACAAGGGCAGGAGTGGAGCTACAGGCAGCCAGACATTGTTTATTTCAGCCCCCCAACCCTTGCTGGTGGACTCGAGGTGCAGTCAGCCTTGGGAGAAGTGCTGGACCCGACCTCTCTGAGCAGCAGCTGCCTTCCCACCGCCGGTCCTGCTCCCGCTGCAGAGCCCACATACATAGCTTGCGGCAGGGTGCAAGCGCTGGCTGCATCTTAAAATAACACCCCCCTGAGAGGCTCGCCTTGGTATTTTGGACTCTGGCCGTCCCCAGGCTTCTATTTGCAGCGTTGTAGCAGCAGGGTTAAGTGCGAGGCCTGGGGGTGAAGCGAGTGCAACTGGTAGCTTTATTTCTGCACAGCAGCTCTCTGCACCACATCACCACTCGCAGACTAGAAGCATCAACATCAGTTCACAGCCTGCGGTCCAGGCACCCAACCACGCCCCCAGAAACAGCTGTGAATATCACTCTGTAATGACCCTTCTACCATGCCTCACTGCTCCCTTTCCCCCTTGAAGAGCACCTGAGCTTGACGCCTTTCACACGCTCCTGATGGGATAAATGGAGCGACCATGTGCTAGGAACTGCTTGGCAGGCCCTCTGCTGCCATAAAGTCACATCCCTCCCTTGCCAGCAGCCAAGCAGTACTCACTTAAAACAATGGAGGCTGGGCCCAGAAGATATAGTTCACGGGTGGAACATGCTAGCACCAGACCCATCTCCGCTTTGTACCTGCTGAACGAGCCCAAAGTACTGCAGCAGGCGCTGAACTGCAGCTGCTTCTGGGGTGGAGCATGGTAGTGGTGTTGCCAGCAGAGAGGACCACAGCCCACAGTTGGCATAATACTTAGATTTGAGATAAAAAATAAAAACCACCAGGCAACATTAGAGTACCTGATGGTTGAGTGGAACACAGCAGGAAGAGAAGGGGATTCTGGAGGACAAAAATGGGCAAAGTGAATTTGGGATCCCGTCTTTCCAAAAAGGAGAATGCTGCAGGGATGGAAAATGCCAGCCTCAGGCAGAGGGTTAGCGTGACAACCCTCTGGACCAGGGCCGCTGTGGGCTAGCTCCGCTGTGACCTGACGTCTCCAGAGATGAGAATTAAAAGATTGGACCTCTCCCCTGCATCCAACTGACATAAGCTCACTGGGGCCAAGGCAATACAGCTAGCATTTAGAAAGCCCCAATTCCCCCTTCTCTTGACAAGATCTTTTGTGCTGGCCGGCGAGCAAGACAGATGTACCCTCATCAAAACAACTTTTTAATAAGACTTTGATTCTCAGTTGAACACGCCAGCCAGAAAGAGACCTCATTTGACAGACAGCCAAGATGGTTCTAGGCACAGCGCGTCATGCATGTGAAAACTGTTTCTGCTTCCCCAACCCCATCAGGTCTCACTGGAGCAGCTAAACGCAAGTTAAAAGGAGACGCAGGCAGGGGCTGGCTCTCCAGAGGCATGGGATGATCTTCCTGCGAGAAACAGACCCAGCGGATTCTGGGTCAATCCCGCTGCAAATCGATAGGTCTAAGGCCACAGGAGAGCAAACAGCCCTTCCTTCTAGCAACCAGGATGGACAAGGAGACTGAAAAGTGTGACGGGGCAGCCCAGTTAACTTAGCACAGATGTCACCGGCAAAGGAGGGAGGCAGTTCGTTGCTTTCAAAGAGCATTTCAACACTTCCTGTGAAAGGATCTGCCTTTCCAAAGGGAACATTAAATTAATACGGGCAGGGGAGAGTGCATTGGTGCAGGCGCTAACGAACATGACCAGCCCAGGGAGGGAGAACATAATACAGCGGCATCTCCAACACCCACTTGCAATTTATATCATCGACAGAAGCATGTGCATGGCGGGGGATGAGGGAGTAATCTCCTTCCCGCCGCACATACAGCTATGTCTCAAGACACAGCGGCCAGTTAAATCAATTGGCAAACATGAGCCGCCAACCTCCGGGCGCCTGCGAGAAATCTAAGTTCATTCCAGGCCCAAGTTTTTAAAGAGCAGAGGATGTTGAAAAATGGTTTCAAAGCAGGTCCGGCTCCGATGCCCAGGGCGCAATTCCCCACAATTCATCCAAAAGAAAGAGAAACACAATCACAGCCCATTTCATAGGGGCCTGCGGCCGATCCACACCAGGAGGCGGAAAGCAGAGGCTCCGGGGAAGGAACCGCGAACAGCTTCTGTCAAGGAGATGGAACAAGCCGCACCCAACCCCAGCTCCACCATGTAGGTGGAGTCCTTCAGTACAGGCCTATGCGAGCCAGAACGTAAGCTCGCCACCCCCCTCTGCGCCCCACATCAGCCTGGAGCACGAGGCCCAAAGTGAAGCAAACCCCCCACTCCGGCTTCCCCAACAGAGACTCGGAGATACGAGTAGGCCAATAAATAAGACGGGCAGATAACCACGTGTCGCCACCACCCCAGAAGGAGCTGGCCAAGCCTGAGCCAGCTCCTAGAGAGTGTGGTTTCGTTGGGGGGGGGGGGGTCCCCGATCTCCCCTTCAAAGAGGAGAAGGGATTTCCCCCCCAAGTTATCCAATCACCAGGCCTCAGGTGAAGCAGGCTCAGGCTTAGAGGCCAGCAAAAAATCCGTTCTCCGCGCCATCGGGCCGGCCCCCCTTGGCGCCCTTCCCAGGGTTGGGTGTAGTAGAGTACTTTGGGGGGTAGCGAATGAAGAGCCGGTCCTCCTCCTTCTTGATCCAGCGCAACAACTTGGTGAGGACATTGATGGCGCCGGCCTTGGTTACCAGGGGGCTGAAGCAGGTGTATAGCTCGAACTTACTGGTGACCTGAGAAGGAGAACGTGGAAAAAGGACAAGTCAATCCATCCTCTCCCCAATACCTGGCACTGTCTTGTCTCTTGTCCTCCCTCTCCAAACTTGCTCCCCAAGCTTCTTCTCATCACTAGCCCTGAGGGAGGCAGCACAAGCTTTAAACCTATATGGAGCTGTCAGCATGACAGCCAGAAGCAGCATGAGCTATCTGTTCCAATGGGGCGCGTGTTCACTCTGAAACCTACTGATGTTTGGTTAAAACCCAAGCACATTGCTGCCGATCATGTGAGTGGACACATCACACTAAGGTGCATATCCCAGTCACATCCCTCAGTAGTCTGGGAATTCTGCAGCATGTGGGGCCTTGACGCTGGAATTCTGGAAACGAACAGCCTGAACCATTTCCCCAGCTATCCAGGCGGGACTGGTCTGGGCTTGGTGATCACTTCCCACGCCAGGCACCACTGTGCTTCCTGCTAGGAGAGCAGGAATGAGCCAAGTGCAAGATAGAAAGGACACAGCAGGAAGTCCCACCCTCCTCACCCTAGAGTATTACTGAGACAGGAAGTGGTCTCTCCCAAGCCCCCAGCCAACACCAGGTGAAGGCCCAGGCAATCTAGGCTCATGCCTAAGGGCGATTGCTAGAGTCATGTGATCACAGCAGCAGCTCAGCTTTCTGTTACGAATAGAGTAAGCATCTCACCCTCCTAGTTGGGAAGAAAACCTTGAAATCATAAACCAAGTGTCGCAAAGGCAGCGACACTGCCTGAGTCTGCAGAAGGCCTGAGCCCATCACTCCAACTTGGGGGAAATTGACCCATGTGTGAGTGATGCTGCCTGAGTTTGCAGAGAGCCTGAGCCAATTGCGGTGAGTGAGTAGTAGGGGGTGCTCCTGCCTCTCTTGGGGAGGAAGAGGAGCCCTGCTGCTCCTCTGGGGAGATGAGGGCCCATGACCCTGCCCCTCCAGATGCCTTGATCTGTGCCCTGCCTTACCCAGGCGAGTAGCGTCTCCTTCTCGGCCACATGGTAGATGAGGCGCAGGGGGCGAGAGGTGCTGTGGATGCGGCTGTGCAGGTAATGGTAGAGGTCAAAGAGCCGGTGTTGCTCCTCCTCGCTGCAATACGG